CAAAGAAAGAAAAAGAAAAATATTTTTATTGCCACCATGTTCAGGAGATAGTGAATTCACTGTTATAGCAGGTCATCAAGCATAGGCTGATGGGGAAGCTACTTAGGCAGGAGACATATACCTTTAAGGGATCTCTTTCCACTTTTAACATTATGAACCTCTAAAAAATAAAGACATGGGACAGGGAGGAAGAAGAGGAAGAAGAAGAGAGAGAGACAGAAAAGAGAGACAGAAGGGGACATGGGGTGGGAAAGTTGCTTTCCTACAGTACAATCTCCTGACATTTTTCTTTTTAGGTCAAAGTACTAATCTCTTGATCCCTTGTTTTGCAAGTCTTTGAGCTTCACCCAAGAATGGTGAGCCCATCCCCCTAGGTTTGGTGCAGTGCAGACTGTGGCCTTATAGTGACCCTTCAAAACTCCCAACAGACTACTATGCTTTGCTTTAAAGAAAATGGTCATAATCCCTATTGCAAACTTGCAATAAATCAGAGATTAATGTATCTGCATTGACCTCTTTTCCTCCCCAAAACCTAGTATGATGAAAGTAAAGGAACAATCCATGTATTGCTGTGAGGACAACAAAAAAAGAGGTGACAGCAGCAGGTAATAGATGGCAACAAGGCAGGGGGAGGGAACAAAAAAGTTAAGATGTCGTGTATGTGTATCAAACACCGCAAGGAAAGCGGTCACACATCCCAAACAGGTACTAATAAATTTTAAAAAGAAACTAACATTGTAGAGGGTGGAAAAAGGAGGCATGAACAGTAACTCACTCACAGAGCAGCAGAGGCTGAAACCTAAGAGCCCATGGGGACAGGATCCAAGCAGGAGCAGACACACCTGTGTGCAGGTTCTCTCAAGGCTCTGGAGCTGGGGCGAAGCCCCTCTGCTGGTAGGGATCCCAGTGGGGTCAGGAAGAGGCACTGTGTTTTCAAGTGTGAACAGAGAACAGGCTGGCCCACCCTGCTCCCTGAATCAACTGCTCATCGCCCTTCTGTCACAGCAAAAGCTGGGAGGTTCCTTCTCTGGAAGCACTGAGGGAAGCCTGGACTTGCGACTTCAGGGTCAGCTAGGGGCAAAGCAGGTAAGTGCAGAATAGGAAGGGATACGGTAAAGCAAGCTGACGGACCAGTGAGCCTGCCAGAGCCCTTCTTCAGCTGGGCGCCCAGAATTCTGGCGGCCTGATTATCCCTCAGAGACTAGGGGTCCTCTAGAGGCACACTGAGCAACACCCTCCAAGACTCCCCTGGCTCCCTACAGTGAAGGCCTCTTACTGACTTGAGGAAAGCTCTTTACATAAAACAGTCCAGCATGAGGTGAACACAAGAACAGGTGAGGTGAACATGAAACAAAGAATAGTTCGGGGAGTAGAAAGAAACCTTAAAAATCAAAAAACCTATTCTTGCCAGGTGCAGTGGTACATGCCTGTAATCCCAGTACTCAGGAGGCTGAGGCAGGAGGATCACCCCAAGTTTGAGGCCAGCCTGGCCTACATAGTGAAACCCAGTCTAAAAGAAAAAAATATCAACAAGAAAAAACAAGACAAGGAAGCCAGGAATAGTTAGCACACAAAGGTCCTGCACAGTTGCTAAAGAGGTTAAAATGTCCCACAATAACATGGATTCAGGTTTGCTTCCTTTTCCACTGCAAAGAGGTTTCCGCATTTGCAGTTACCCTGGAGGATACCGAGATCATGCAAGCTTTGGGCACAATCCTTCACGAAACAGAGAAACATTAAAGGGCAGGGGTTAAAAAACAAACCAACTCAGCCAGGCGTGGTGGCGCACGCATGTAATCCCAGCACTTGTGGGGGTTGAGGCAGGAGGATTGGTTGAAAGTTTGAGACTGTCTCAAAAAGACCAAAAAATAAAAATAAAAAACAAACCAATTCTAACTCAGGGCTCTCAATTTTGGATCTGAGGAAGGAAGATTCAGTAGATCCCCTAGAGAGCTCTTCTAGCACTAAGAATTTGAGCACTGCTGTCTCTTTTGGGGGTTGGGGATTGAAGCCAGGACCTCGTACCTGCTAAGAGCTTCAGGAATTTGAATTCCACCAGGTGAAAAGATAACAGCAAATACTTCTATAAACTCATTGTACGTTACATTGGCCTTTGTGGGCCAGTGGGTGGCTGAGGGCCAGGCTAAGCTCCAGTGAAAATCTCCATGGCGCTCCATTTGGTAACTTTTTTCTTTTTGGTGGGGGCTAGGGTGGCCATGTCTTAGGCCTCTCTGATATAGGCCAAGTTGCTAGTCCTGGACATTCCAGTGTACCTCTTCCTGAGAATGGTTAGCAGAAGAATCAGGGACTATGCCTCAAAATCCTGCCATTTTACTGCCAAATGCACCTGAATGGATAACTAAAACACCCGCCTTCAGGAGGAACTTGGTGTACCACCTACCAGTGAGTCAGTCCATGAAAATGTCAACTGAATGGTAAAAACAGTTCCCTCGGGGGCTGCAGAGGGAGGCAAGTGCTGGGCCCAGGGTCCCCCCAGGCCAGCACTGTGAAGCGCAGAGCACCAGGACACCCTGGCTTATTCTTCACCTGAGGTCCTACTGCAGAGCTGAGTGGGGCCGCTGCAAAGCAAGGCCTCTACTGGATCCCCGGGCTCCAATACCAGCCCCCACCCAGGGCATAGGAGGAGAAATGGATGGCAGTTCTTCAGAAACAGTGCTTCCTGCCTTGTTTTTAGCCCCAAGAAGACAACAGGGCTCCACATGACACAGCAAGGGGGTAGAGGTGAGCTACAGCTCTGGGGCAGACAGTCCTGGGCGGTTACGCTGACTCCGTCACCTGCCCCCTCGCAGGGGGTGTGATGACTATGGGAGAGTATGTGGAAGAGCTCCTGGAACAGGGCCTGGCACACAAGGAGTGCCTGTCATTCACCGGCCATCTCCTCGGAGTGGGTCTCTTAGGGAAGGTTCCCCAAATGAGGCGGGAGAGCTGGGTCTTCAGGCTCCCATGGAGGAAGCAGTGAGCTCTCCTTCTGAGATCTGTGCCAAGGCCAAAAATAAAATTAAAAAAGCAAAAGTTCCAAACTCAAAACTGCTGTCTAGAACCATCAGCTTCTGTGTGTGGCACTGCTGTCCTCTGTGGGTAATGTGTGTGGGGTTTGTGGATCAGCCCAGCCTGCCTGCTCCCAGGGTCACCTCCAGCTCAGCAGCCCAGCACCCTACACCTGACGCAGGGATCACAGCAGCAGCGGCATTACTCACTTGGCACTCGGCACACACAACCGTATCTGTGTCTGTGAGTGTGCCAAGCCCCAACTACACTGCACATTCCCGGGCACAGGCTGATTTCTTCCTTGTAGTTCCCACAATGCCTGGCAGTGCACTCTGCCCACAGCAGACCCTGACCCGTTCCTAGAACCAAGGAGCAGCCCCTTCAGGGAAGCGTCCCACACAACAGCCTCCTTAACAGCCACACATTTATCTGAGAGCCACGGCATCTGCCGGCATCTGGCTCACCTCATCCAGCTGTCTCTTCGTCTCTTCTTCCATCCTTCGAATGTCGTCCATAGTCAGGTCAACCCACTTATCGAGCCAACAGAACAGCTGCCTGTGGAAATTTGTAAACAGACGCCTCTCTTGCTATAAGAAGGAGGGGGCCTTGTTAGAACGCAGAAGGCGAAGGCCACTGTGACGTTCTCCTCCCCAGGATCTCTCTGTGCGCTCACATCCACACTGCACACAGCTGCGGGAGCAGGAAGAACTCATGCCTGGCTGGCTTACCTGTTCTAGCCACAGGTCAGAAACTCCTGCCTTGAGGTGTCAAAAGGGTGAGCCTTCAAGACTCACGCAGCCAACAAGAAAAGGATGGGCGTCTGCTCCATAGCTAGGTCTTTTGCCCCAAGACAGGCAGCCTGTGAACTTCTAGCCAACCTGAGGGCCCCAAGCAACTTCCAGATTTCCACTTTGTCTCTGGTCCTAACACTAGATTATAACTGGCCAGCTGCTGTGAAATGTGGCCCCAAAGTCTCTAACACATGAGGAAATTAAAAGGCCATAAAACTCCTGAGGTCTGCCCCGTGAGTGATTCAGAACACTGGAGAATTTGGCTCATGGTGCTTCATGCCTTCTGGATTGAAAAGAGGCTGAGTTTTATTTGTAGTTCAGTCACAGAAAGTCCCTTCCGGTTTCCCTGTCACATGTGCTGCACTGGATGGACAGCAATGACAGTTATATGCAAATGAAACCAAACTAGTCTGGGTACAGGTCACATGGGTTGCATGACCTCCCTGGGTTGGGCTAAACTCCCCTTGCCAACGCACGCGTGCCCAGCTCACTGACCTTGTGTATAAAGTTCTCCACTTTGTTCTGCAGGCCCCACCACTTGAACTTGACAGTAACCAGTTTGTATGCGCACATATATGGGCAATCTTTCTGATTTACAAGTTCTTGCTGCATTAGAAACAGACAGAGAGGCAGGCCAGTAACTAAGCAGAAAGAACTCAGGCGGTCCCTGGGCCCAGCCCCAGCCATTCCCGCTCCCAGGCAAGCCCCACCCATACCGCGCCCGGCCCCCCAGCCGTTGAGGGGGTGAACTGCACCTTCCAATTTGGGCCCAAAGGTCCTCGGCCTGTTTTAACAGATTTAAATTTTGCTGGGTCTTCCTCTGCTTTGTAATCCTGAGAGATTGTGGGATTCGGATTGGAAGAGAAAGGGAGAGGGGACAGAGGAGGGAGAAGGACAGGGCAAGAGGAGAAGATCAGATTTTCACGTAGAATACACTTCATAAGCAGTTCTTGATGTTGCTGGCACTCACATGTATGGGGAAATGTTATAAACAAGAGGTAGAACTGTTTACATCTCCCTCAGCGGAGTGTTCTGTGATTCTTTTCTGCCAGGGTTTGTTTTCAATTTTACCAGTGTGAAAGTATCACCAGACTGCCTGAGGAGCCACACATATTTGCAGTGTTTAAAACAGAGATTTTCAACCTGGTGAGCATCTAAATTGCCAGGGAAGAATTTTATAGTTCTCTGGTCACACTACCTTCCCAGTGACAATGAATACCTGCAGGCAAGAGCAGCATGGATTTAAAAAAAAAAATCTCTGCGGGGGATTCCTATTTTATTTATTTTTAATAGTACTAGGGACTGAAATCAGAGCCTTTGCAATGAGACATCCCCTTAGCCCTTTTTATTTTGAAACATGGGTCTCCCTAAATGGCTAAACTGCCTAGGCCAATGACCCTCAAAGTCATGATCCTCCTGCCTCAGCCTCCTAGAGTGCTGGGATTACAGGCATGAGCCACTGCACCTAGTACTCAGCAGGTGATTTTAAACCACATCCAGAGCAGAGAACAAACGGCCATCTTTCTTAAAATCTTCTAGTCCAATCTCCCTCTGAATGTTTAATTTTTTTTTATTTTAAAGAAAAGAAAAATAAACAATAAAAATAATGGTATAAAATTTCAAAACAAGATTGCAGGACAGTAACAATGGTTAGTGCATGGCGTATTGTTATCCTCAAAGCAGTTACTCATATTACAAGATATAGGCATGAAAAATTGATCAAACAATAAAAAATATGGAATGCTTCATGAATTTGAGTGTCAGCCTTGCACAGGGGCCATGCTGCTCTTTTCTCTATCATTCCAATTTTAGTATATGTGCTGCTGAAGTGCGCACTCCCTTTGAATGTTTTAATGAAATCACTACTGGAAAAGTTCATTACCTAGAGCCTATCTTCCGTGCAAAACTGGTCAGACTCACTCCACTGATTTTATCTACTTTATTTTTTAAATTTAAATTCTTGGCAAGACCTGTCTCAAAAAGACAAAAAAAAAAAAATTAAATTCTTTTTTCTTTCTATTTTTTGAGAACTACAGTCTTGCTACGTAGTTCAGGCTGGCCTGGAACTCGTTATGTAGATCAGGCTGGCCTCCAACTCATGGCAATCCTCCCTGGGTAGGGGCTGGCATGGAGCCCCGGGGTCCAGTAGAGGCCTTGCTTTGCAGCAGTCCCGTTCAGCTCTGCAGCAGAGCCTCAGGTGAAAAATGGGCCTGGGCCTCCTGGTGCTCTGAGTTCACAGTCCTAAGCGAGGGGGAATCCAACTCTTTCATTCCCTAAACAGATACTTCCTGGGAACGTAACACTGAGCAAGCTAGACAGGCCTGGGTCCTAGCAGTGCCACTGGCTAGCAGTGGACTCCTTTTCCAGGCATCTGCTCAAGTGCTTGTTACTCTGAAAAGTCACCACCAACTTTTGAAGGCAGGGTACTTATCTTTTCATATACTCTGTACCCCTCCCTGGGAACTCAGAAAACCTAACAGAATATTCCAAGGGAGGCAATAAATGTTTTTCAATTACTGGACTAGAAAACTAAATTGGAAGCTAGTGCTCTAATTTGTCAGGGTGAACGTCACTTCAGCAAGTCAAAACACTCTACCCAAGCACTTATATTGTCCAGGAATAACTTCCACAACACGAACACATATAAATTGGGCTACTAGTTTCCTGAGTTAGTATTCCCAGCTCCAGACAAGGGAACTCTTAATACTAACTTTAGAAATAAAACAAACAGGGCTGGGGATTTAGCTTAGCAGCACAGCACCTGCCTGGCAAGCGCAAGGTCGTGAGTTTGATTCCTGGTGCCGGAAAAAAACAAACAAAGAAAAAGAAACCAACAACAAACAAGCCAGATGTGGTGGTGCATGTCTATCAACCCAGCACTTGGGAGGCTGAGGCAGGAGGATCACCTCAAGTTCAAGGTCAGCCTGGGCTACACAGTGAGTTCAATGATAGCCTGAGCTATACAATGAGACCCTGTCTCAAAAAAAGCAAAAAATAAAATAAAAACAAACAATACACACCAGAGAGAACATTCTTTTGAACCTACAGGGTCCTGGTTCCCTAGTTCTTCTGACATTTACAAGTCATTTTGACATCCGACATCTTTAAGTAGTTCCTACCTTGCTAAGTACTTGGCTTCGATCTGCGATGTCTATATATATGGCTTCCACGTGTTTCCATGTCTCAGGCTCCAGCTTATGCACCTGGAGGAAGGAGGGGATTACCTTCAGGCTGAATGTATAAGGTGTACATGAAACATAAATTAATTTTGTTGTTTATACTTGGGACCTATCTCTAATGCATGCCATTATGTATAAGCAACTATTCCAGGATCTGAAGTGTGAAACACTTCTGGTTTCAAGGGGTAAGAGATACTGAATCTGTACAAAATTATACAAAGGAGCAAGAGATTGGATTTTAAACCGACATAAATTTGAGAATGACTGATGTACATTGTTTCCATATGTCCCTTGGTAAAGATTAAACACTCCTGGGGATGTTGCCCACTTTGCCACACGATGCTTATTTTCATCAAGTACATATAAAATTATGATCTAAATTCAAAATGAAATGATACAAGGAAAAATAACTTTCTCCTGCTTGTCCTCTAGCCAGTGATAGATGCTGCCACTACAGTCCATCCATGTACATAGATTTTCCTTCTGATACAACAGTAGCACATATATGCACCATTTTATATCTTGCTTTTTCATTCAGTACATGGTGGGCCAGGGATATAGTTCAGTGGCACAGTTCCTGCCTTGCAAGCATGAAATCATGATTCCCGGTACCACAAAAAAAAAAAAAAAAAAAAAAAAACAGAAAAAATCTCCATAATTACTGGCCGGGCATGATGGAGCATGCCAATAATCCCAGCACTCAGGAAGCTGAGGCAGGAAGATCTTTCAGAGTTTGAGGTCAGTCTGGGCTACAAAGTGAGCTCAAGGCCAGCCTGAACTGTATAGCGAGACCCTGTCTCAGAAAAAAAAAAAAAAAAAAAAAAAACCACAATACATGGGACAGACGGAGTGTACTAGGAATTAAACCCATGGCCTTTACACTGAGCTAATCCCCACCCCTCTTTATCTTTTTATTTTGAAACAAGGTCTCACTAACTTATCCAGAGGGGACTCAATCTAGTGATCTCCTGCCTCAGATCCAAGTGGTGGGATTAGAGTTGTCCAATACCATGTCCAGCAAACAATAATCTTATGCTAGCTCTTTTTAATGACTGTACTATTTGGTTACATAATTTATTTAATGATATCCTACTGATGGGCTCTTGTGTTGCATGTATGTATGTATGTATTTATTTACTTGAGACAGGGTCTCTCTATGTAGTTCAGGCTGGCCTTGAACTCACTATGTAGCCCAGATTGGCCTCGAACTCCGTGATCATCCTGCCTCAGCCTCCCGAGTGCTGGAATTACAAGCATGTACCACCACGCCCAGCTTGTATTGTTTTTAGTCCTTGTTACACAAAAGAATATAGCAATGGATCTCCTTGTACATACTTTTTTTTTTGTCTTTCTGAGACAGGGTCTCACTATGCAGTTCAGGCTGACCTTGAGCTCACTATGTAGCCCAGGCTGGTCTTGAAACTCACTATGATCTTCCTGCCTCAGCCTCCCAAACGCTGGGATTATAGGCATGTGCCACCACAGTCAGCCATACTATTTCATGTATATGAGAAAGGTGTCTAATAAGTTCCTAGGCATGGAATCAATTACCAAGGAAGAAAGAGGTATATTTCAAATTTTGGGAATGATTATAAACTGTGCCTAGAGAGGCTTTAAATTAGATGTTTTTTAAAAAATAGCTCCTTTGTGTCAGGAACTGCATTTTAGACCTATCTGAGCACTATACGAAGACCTGATAAAGAATCTTGGAAATCATATTTTTGCAAATCAAAGAAGGGCAATCCCACCCTGGTAGGAGAGATCTAGGAGAAGCCACTGCTTTTTCTGGACAAGCAAAGAGGACCACAGAGAGGAGAATGTCCTGGTAGGGATGGAGAAGCTACAGGCAGAACCTCAAGACCCTGCTCTGGGGCCTGGAAACCCTGGGGCTCTCGGGATATACTCCTTACATTCTCCTGGGTGCCAAGATCCGGTTTGTGCCAGGTCTCAATTTTAATCAGAAAGTCTTCTTTCATGTACTCATTCTGGAAAAGGGAATAAAACGCCATACAGTCAGGAGGCTCACAGCTGAAAATTAGCCACCTCCCATTACTAGCTCAGGGACAGTCAGGAGACTCCAGCCCCTGCCTGGTAATAACAGCTACTACGACTGCAAGCCCGCGAGATACTAGGCATGGATTACCCCAGCTGGGTCCTCACGTCACCCTAGGACATGTACAGAGTCACTTCATTTTACAGATGAGGAAAGTGAAGTTCAAAAAAGTTAAGTGGAAAAAAAAGGTAAGTGACTTATGCAAGACCACACAGATCATTGGAGAGCTACGCCTAAAAACAAGTTTGTGTGACTTTGGAATTCATGTATTTAGCCAGTCTTCTATACTACTTTATACAAAGGTGCTAATGGTTAACTAGATGTGTAGAAAAAGCACAGAAGACAACAAAAAATATTCACCATGGTCCCTTTCCCCCAAATGGCTTTTTGCAGGGGCAACCCTTCATGCTGTCTTCTTCCCTTTGTGCTTTTAAAAAATTGGAACAAATATAAAAGATAAAAAACAAAACAAAACAAAAAAACCACCCATTTAAAGGAGGAAATCAGCAGGGTGTGGTAGCACACACCTGTAATCCCAGCACTGGGGAGGCTGAACCAGGAGGATCATTGTGGAGTTCGAGACCAGCCTAGGCTACAAAGTGAGCTCCAGGCCAGCCTGAACTACATAGCGAGACCCTGTCTCAAAAAGACAAAAAAAAAAAAAAAGAGGAAATCAGCCCATTACCACCTCAACAGGAATTCATTTCCTGGAAGGGACTGGGCACTTGGATGGGCATACTCAAGGGTGGTAAGGAAGGGCGATGACAAAGGGGATGGTTACAGAAGAGAAATTTTGTTGACTTCACAATTTTGCCAAGAGGTAGCGCTCACTGGGATCAACAGATGCCCAAACGGGAAACAGATGTCACAACCAGGTCTGGTGAACTGAAATTTCTGTAACCCTGAGTAGGCATGACCTGGGGAGAGCAAGGAGTCTCCTGTTATTCTGTCCACACAGAACCCAGAGCCAGGGTACATCCAACAGTCACAAACCAAACTGCAGCTTAAAGCAGGAAGCTACTGGGCCAATTAACAAGTTCTTCATGAGGACTGAAAAGATTCAGCTTAGACAACTCCAAACATCACACAAGGGAAAGAAGAGAATAGCCATGACCTCTACTTGTGCAGATAATTTTTATTTCTCCTTTTCTTATAAATTACCTACAATTCCAATCCCCCCCCACGATACTTACTGTAATAACTGCTCCAAGGCAAGGACATGGAAAGAAGAGAAAAAAAAGATTAATAATGAAGGTAAGTAAGTATCTTCCCCCAACCCCAGGGACCATGAATAACAAAGTTCCCCAGTCCTTCTGGCTTATTCAAGTCACTTCTAGGCCCCAGTGAGTCAAGAATAACTCAATGCACCAACACCCCTCAAGTTTCACTATGCGAAGGTCCCAAAAGACCAAATCTGGTCTGCAATGAGCTTCCTAGGATTCTTTCCAGCAGGACAAGAAAGGGACTGTCTCTGATTCACTGTGGCCCTGTGACCCATCACTGCTGCCAGGGCATCAGCTGGGTGCCCCTCATTTCCACCTCCGCTTCTGCCACCTGGACGGGGAGCAGGTTGCACTGAGCCGGGGGAGGTCTGTCCGCCTATGGCAGCCTTCCTCTCACTGTAACCAAACCTCTCTCGCTCTGCACTCCTGCTCGTTGTAACGTGACCCCCTCGAAAAGGACAGTTCAATTATTTATCAGAGAAAATGACTGCAGCTCTCGTGTCACTGGGGAACAGACTTAGCTTTCCTCCCGACAATGGCCTGGTTCACTCTGTACCTGCTGAATTTAGAAGCGACTACATTTTCTGATGGATGCCATGTTTGGAAGAGTATACAAGGCCAACAAACTATTACTTCAACAGTGAAACTAAGGCTCCCTCTGAAATGGAACTGAGAAGAGTTGAAAAGTAAGGGCTACGAACCACCATGTATAAAAGTGACCCAAAATACTATCAGCAATCTCCCCAAACCCAGTGAAAGATACTTGGAAGGAAGCAGCAGATTAAGATTATAACTAAAAGGTCTATACTGAAATAACTGCCCCATTAGCAGTTTGAGAAAATCATGCCAGAAAAAAGGAAATGAGGAGTATAACATCCCTCGGAGAGAAGTCCAAAGAGGCCCATATGAGGGGAATTCAGCAGTGCGCGTGTGGAACAGAGCTCTCTCCGTCTTGGAGACAACAGTGTCAGACTGACTGGGTGGAGGACACTCGTCATTAAACTCCTCCAACCACCTCATTCCGAATCTATGTTTCCTAGAAATGCTCTCCTTCAGCTTTCGCCTCTGAATGGACAGATGTCCCAATCAACAAAAAGAAGAATCTGACCATTTAACCAAGTGGACATTTTTCACTACATGTTGGTATTCTAATTACAATTTGATTTCCCACATAGGAGAATCCCAAAGAAAATATGCCCCAATCAGCAAATAGTATCACTGTTAATTTTGTGTTTCAATACAATTTTAGAAATTAGCATTTGACGTTTTCTAGACATTGGTGTTTGTGAGATGCTGGAAAACATCCACTTAGTTCTTGACAAACTTGATTTTGGAACCCACAAGGGGGACAACCCACCCTGGCCTTTAATGCCAACTTGGGTAACCAAACGGTCTCCCTCAACCTTCCCCAGCCCTTCTTTCCTCCGAACACCTCTCTACCCATACCACCTCCTTTTCTTTGAGCTGCAACCTCAGCTACACAGGAAATGCCTCCAGAAACCCTTTGCAGTCAGAAAACAAGGCTTTCCAAATAAGACTAAGCTGGGCTTTTGTGTTTGTTTTGTTTTGGGTTTTTTTTGAGACAGTGTCTTGCTATGTAGTTGAGGCTGGCCTTGAACTCACTGTGGAGTCCAGGCTGGCCTCGAACTCACAGCAATCTGACTCATCCTCCTGAGTGCTGGGATTGCAAAAATGTGCCACCGTGCCTAGCAAAGGCATGTTAAAAGTATGATTTAGTGATACTGTATCCAGCCTGAGGGTTCAGGTTCCAGGAAGGGATGGGTAAAAAAATACATTCTCCTCCTCTTCCCATTTTTATATACAGACCACCCCACCACCCCCCTTTCATAGCCCAACCCCTTAGCTTCAGAGGAAAAGAGAAATTATTGGAAGAGAAACAGCTAAGAATGAGTAGAGTATCCCCAATCTATTTCCAGTCCCCTCATAGTAAGATTAGAGCCATCCAAAAGCCATCAGGGATTCCTCTCCATGCTCCTTTATCCATCTCCCCTCAAGATTTGGTCTACTTAGGTCAAGCTAAGACTGTGTGTGTGTGTGTGTGTGTGTTGGTTTTGAGACTACATACTCCAGGCCTGCCTTGAACTCACTACTCACTACACAGATAGCCCAGGCTGGCCTTATACTAACTATGTTCCTACCTCAGCCTCCCAAATGCTGGGATTATAGGATGTATCACCATGCCTGCACTTGAATTAATGATTTCTCCCATTGGCCTTCAAAGGGCAGACTTCCTTGCCTGTTTATATCTCTTATTTTAAAATCACAAGTGGGCCAGGGATATAGCTCTGCAGCACAGCGCCTGCCTGGCAAGTGCAAGGTTGTGAGTTTGATTTCCAGTACAACAACAACAAAAAAAGCACAGGTGTCAGCTGTATGGTGGCACATGCTTGTAATCCCAGCACTCAGAAGGCAGAGGCAGGAGAACTGCTGCAAGTTTGAGGTCAGCCTTGGCTATACAGTGAATTCAAGGCCAGCCTGCATTACACAGTGAGACGCTATATCAAAAAAAAAAAAAAAAAAAAAGCAGCACAGGTGTCTAACTTCACTAACCTAAGATTTCGCATACTCATTATGTAGAAAGGTGGAAAGTGGATTCTATGTGAGGTCAGCACGCAATGAAGAAACCAACCTTTCCTTCCTTACTCAGTGTCCCCTTCAAGGAGTATTTAGAAATTATATTTTCCTTTTTCTTTTGGTCAAGAATCTATGTGAAGTAATACTTGCTGCATACAAAAATGCCTTGTCAGCTGCAGCACATTCTTCTAAAAATTACACATCTCTCAGTGGCACAAGCCCCGCCCCCAGAACTCTGCCCCAGGCGTGGAGACGTTCATGCTGTTTGCGTCCTTCATGCCAAGTTGGCGAAAGCTCTGACAGCGCATACTCAATGCAACTCTCTTATACATCAAGAAAATTCACCTTTGGTCCTTGACCAAACATACCCTGCCACACTACTCACTGCTTTCAATTTTTTTTTCTTTGAGACAGGGACTCACTGTACAGTACAGGCAAGCTTCAAACTCATTACAGAGCCCAGGCTGGCCTCAAATTCTCAAGCTTGCTGTCTCAGCGTCCTGAGAGCTGAGGTTATAGGTGTGTGCCACCACGCTCAGCACTATACAATGCCTTCTTACAAACATGAGTCCATGTCTCATTTCCAAGAATTTAATAGCTTCCTGCTCCTTTGCACTTTCAGGCACAGCAATGAAACGTAAGTGTTAGATCATCTCAGGTCCCACGAATAACTACATCTCCTGATACAAGGTCACTGAACCTGTGGAGGGCCATGGATGACTGGTGAGAGCAATGACTTTACTCACTCCCAAAGTCCACAGGATAACGACTGCCTAAGTCACGTAGAATGACAGCCTTATCAGATACAATTGAGGGAGTGCCAGGTCCTAGCAAATAAGCAAGCAGGCAGCACAGGGAAGCAGAGGCTAGCAGGAGGACCCTGGAGCCAGGCTGTCTGTGCTAACAAATGAAGGCTGCTGCAAGGAAGGTTACTCACCTCACAGACAAGTTCCAGGGGAACCTCTAGGTACTCCCCGAGGACACGAATCAGTGAGAGCTTGGGCCTAAGAGGTCCACTTTTAGATGTTCCTCAAACCTAGGAATCCTGAAGAGCTGAGTCTGAACCACTCAAGAGGAATCTCAGAATGTCTAGACTAGAAAAAAGTGCTCTGTGAAAGTTCAAATCTTTCCCTTCCAGGAACTCCAGACAGAAGATAGGCCAACATTCAGAAAATAAATTGGGCATTGTGGCGCACACCTGTAATCTCAGCATTTGGGAGGCTGAGGCAAGAGGATCATATGTGTTTGAGGCCAGCCTGAACTACACAGCAAGGCCCTGTCTCAAAACACAAAACAAAATAAAAATGCAGGAAATAATCCCAGCCCTACTTCAACTATACAGCATGTTGATTCAGCACAAGCCATCAATTCAGAGTTCTTAACAGGCTGAACCCCCACCCTTTAGGTGGAGAATCTGCCACACTCTTCTAAAAATTACCCCGGAAGCCAAGTATGGTGGCACACGCCTGTAATCCCAGCACGCTGAGGCAGGAGGATCCTTGCAGAGTTTGAGGCCAGCCTGGGCTACAAAGTGAGCTCAAGGCCAGCCTGAACTGCATAGCAAGACCCTGTCTCAAAACGACCGAAGGGGAAAAAAAAAAAAAAAAATTACATGGGGGAACAGGAATATAGCTCAATGGCACAAGTGCCTCCCTGGCAAGCGCAAGGTCCTGAGTTTCATTGCAAGTACCAAAAAATTAATTAATCAATTAGTTATTTAATTAATAAATAAAATAAAATAACACAGGGGACAGTGGCATCTCTCAGTGGTACAAGCCCCGCACCCAGAACCCTGCCCCAGGCGTGGAGATGTTCATGCTATCTGTTTGCCTCCTTCATGCCAAGTTGGTGAAGGTTCTTACAGCGCATAAACGAAACTCTCTTATACATCAAGAAAATTCCATGGGTACATAATGGACTTTGGTGATCACTGTCTCTAAATCTGTTGTCATGAACAACTGGGCTCATTTCAACTTCACCTCAACAACATCAGTGTCTCTTCTCTAGGGCAATTGGACAGGCCCTTTCCTGTGACTGCCTCTCTCGAGCTTCTGAGTCTCAGTGGTCAAAGGTAGATACAACACAATAAAACTGAAAATTTCAGTATTTGGCAATAAGAGAACGGTTTAGAAAGATCACAGTGTGATGTGTGGTGTGTGATGTGTGATGTGTGATGTGTGATGGTACACACTGATAATCCTAGCCACTTGGGAAGCTAAGACAGGGTAATTGCTTGAGCCCAGGAATTTGAAACCAACCTAGGCAACTTAATAAGACCCTGTCTCAAAGTAACATTTAAAAAAGGGCTGAGAGCCAGGGATACAGCTCAGTGGCACAAGCACCTGTCTGGCAAGCACCAGGTCCTGAGTTTGATTCCTGGTACCAAAAACTAACTCTCCCTCCAAAAAAAAAAATAAAAAAGGGCTGAGGATGTAGCTCAGCACTACAGTGCTTGCCTATAGCATAGCACAGGCAAGGTTTTGAATTCATCCCTAGTACTAGGGGAAAAGAAAGGCAGCCAGGTATAGCGGTGTACACCTGTTCCAAGCAGGAAGCAAGAGGATAACAAGCTCTACTTAAACCTGGGCAATTTAGCAACTTAGCAAGACTCATTTCCAAACAAAAAGTAAAAGGGTCCTGGGTTTAAAAAAAATAAAAAAACATTTAAAAGAAAAAAAACCCACCACACCCTCAGGATACCAAAATTCATGCTAAGTCTCCTATATCAAATGGCATAGGGCCGGGGGTATAGCTCAGCGGCATAAGCACCTGCCTGGCAAGCGCAAAGTCCTGAGTTCAATTCCCGGTACAAAAAAAAAAAAAAAAAAAAAAAGGCATAGTACTTGCATATAACTTACATCTCCCATAAAAATTTATCTCTAAATAAGCTATAATACCTAATACAGTGTAAATAATTATACTATATTACTTATTCTGGAGATTAAACCTAGGTCACATATGCCAGGCAAGGTCTTATTCCACCACCAAGGTACAGTCTAGCCCAGATTTATTTTTCCCACATACTTTTGCCTTTTTATTTTTCTTTTTGTGCTAAGGACTAAATCAAGGGCCTTATACTTGCTAGGCAAATGCTCTCCCACTGAATTAAATCTTTAACTCCCAAATATTTTGATCTGCAGTTTATACTGAACTCAGTATTCAGAACACATGGGTTTAGCTGGGCGTGGTTGTGCACACCTGTAATCCCAGCACTTGGGAGGCTGAGGCAGGAGGATTGCTGAGTTTGAAGCCAGCCTGGGCTACAAAGTGAGCTCAAGGTCAGCCTGAACTGCATAGCGAGACCCTGTCTCAAAAAGACAAAAGAGAAAAAAAAAATTTATCAAGAAAAATGTATCACACTTTTCTTTCCATTTGTCTGTCTGTCTAGCTATCTATATGCCTACCATGGTAGTGTATGCCTGCAATCAATCCACTTGGAAGGCTAAATATTAGGAGGATTTCAACTTTGAGGACAGGCTGGGCAACTTAGTGAGATCCTGTCTCAAAATTTTATTTTATTTCATTTTATTTTTTAGTTATTTTTTGTTTTTTTCCGGTACTGGGAATCGAACTCATGACCTTGCACTTGCCAGGCAGGCGCTGTGCTGCTGAGCTAAATCCCCAGGCCCTTGTCTCAAAGTTTTAAAAAGGGTGCGAGTGTAGCTCAGTGCTAGAGTGGTGCAATGCCCCGGGGTTCAATCCCCAGTACCAAAAAAAAAAACCAAAACAAAACATAAAAGTTAGAAATGACTACTAGAGATGAAAGTTACTGGTGGTGATTGTGCTCTTCTGCTTTTATGTATTTTCCAAAATATACACGGGCAACATTATTTTGCAAGCAGTAAAAACAATCAAAATGATCATAACATCCCCAAATGGGAGGGGTTAGTTTTATGCTCTCAAGCTGTGACCCAGCTGTGTTTCCTACCCAGTCGACCACTGAGTTATGAAGACAACACCAGCACCCCAGGCTAGGAGGCGCCCCTAGTCTCATCCTTTCACTTCCCTAGTCTGGAAAATGAAGGTGGGATGTGAAGCCCCACCCCTAGGTCGACTTCACACTCTCAGGTCTGCCATGGGGCCCAAACTTCACCTTCTAGCCAAGTCTGTACTCACCGGTTCTGCAGTAAGGGTAGGCATTCCATGCCTTCTCATGTATATTCAGGGCTCCCTCTGGGGCCAGCATTCGGACAAATGTGGGTACTTTGCTGTATCAAAAAAAGGAGTGATGAGACACAGGAGAGGAAAGAGACAACAGGCTTTCCCATCATGCTCTTCAACCCACAGACCCAGCTTTTTCAAAGGGGAGTTGACAAGTAAGTCTCCATGAGATAAGCAGGTTACATTTGTGTGTGAGATGCCAGAGCCTCATACCTCACCTTGACTGGCTACCATCACCGCCCAAAACTTGCCCCTCACCCACCAGGATCACAGTAGCCCCAGGCTATTCACTGTAGCCTACTGGCCATGACATGCTCATTATGCACTTTCCAGACCTCAGTAGGGGGCAGATACTACATAGAATGAGGATAACATGCGAAAACAGGGGCTGGGGATTTAGCTCAGCAGCAAAAGCGCCTGCCTGGCAAGCGCAAGGTCGTGAGTTTGGTTCCTGGTACCGGAGAAAAACAAAAAAAAAAAAAAAAAAAAAAAAAAAAAATGCGAAAACAGCACCTGTGAGCATGCACTTGCAAAGTGGAATTGTACTCCTTAGTCTAGGTTTATGGGCCAGAGCGACTAGCTCACTAACTTAGAACGTGGGGTCTGAGGGGATCTGGTTTACTCTTGTAAGTTCTAAGGGAACAGGCAGGCCTCAGGGTCATCTGCTTCCCAGGAAAAACTACTTTCTTCTACTCAATTTTCATCTCAGGTTGTAGAAAAATATGTATAGTATGGACCAAATTTGAGGGGGAGGGGGCACACTACTGGGGATTGAACCCTGGGCCTTCACACTGAGCTATATTCCCAGCCATTTTATTTTTTATATTATTTTATTTTTTTTGAGACAGGGTCTTACTAAGTCTCTAAGTTACCCAACCTGGGCTAGAACTTGTGCTCTTCCTGCTCAGGCTCCCACAGTGCTGGGATTACAAGCATGTGTCACCACGCCTGGCTCTTTCTTGGTTTTTAATTGGTAATTTACATCACCTTTAGCAGCTCTAGCAACCTCATCATCCTAGTACCTCAGGCCTAAGAGAAAGAACCTCAGTAGAGATCTAACTCTGGGACCTCAAAGCAAGCATGAGATTTACTCACACACTCAAGTGACACTTCTGTGTGTCACAAGCTGGGACACAGAGAAACCAAACAGTGGGTAGCGTAACTAAGCAGGCAAATGACAACACTGAAGCTAGGTGGGTGAGCACAGGGCTCTGGAGGTCTGAGTACTACAAAAACATGCAGGAGAGGGACAGGCTCTGGGAAGAGTCCTCTGGAAAGTCAGGACGACATAAAGACACAGAACGGGGACTATACAGGCTGGATGGAAGGATGGGAGTAGGACAGGCAAAGCTGGGAGATAGAAGTTCAGAGGAGCTGATGCAAGGTACAAGGTGGGGAATGCAAGGGAACACACAGGGGCCAGGTCATAAAAGATCTTGTAAATTAGGTCAGAAAGTACAGACTTCACCCCAGGGACAAAGAGAAGCCATCTATAGCTTTCAAGCTGGGGAGCAACAGGTCTTCCAGTCAGAACACTCACACCTGTGTAGAAACTCAGAGAGTAGGGAGACCAGCTGAGAGCTTAGTAGTAATCCAGGCCACAGACAATGAAACAATGGACATTTTAAGGATAAGGATGTGAGTCAACAGAACTTGATTTGCTAGGAAGGCTTTTATCCTCTTGAGGACAGGGAACAGGGCAATCACAGTTTGCTTTCTCTTGCAGTTGGCTGTTTTGATGTTAAGGAAAGCATGGTGGTAGCAGTTCTTGATAGGAAGCAGGTAAGACAGGTCTTAACCTCCTCATGCACGAACTTCCTCTCTGTTCCTAATTGGCCCATCTCTTCGCAAAGTCATCCTTAGTATGTTCACAATGGGCTGTAATTTGTATGTCTGGCTGTTGGGCGGCTTGAACCACCAGTGGTACATGCATGAGTATCCCATCAGGTGACTTTTTATTAATTAGTACAAAGGCTGATAAAAGTGGTTAGATCTGTTTGTACCGCCGGTGGTATAAGCCGCCCAATGAGACAGTCATGCACGAACCACTGGTGGTTCAAGTTGGCAGGAATGTGTTAAAAAAATACAAATAGGCAAACAAAAATATGGGGAAGGCATTATTTAGAGCTTGTTTTAACCTACTGCTAATTCCCTAGTTAATAGTCAATTGGAATGCAGAAGCTAGAAGAAACATTAAGAACAAAGAAGGCTTAAGAAACATTAAGAATAAACCAGGGAATAGGATCAGTGAGGCTTTCCTCTGTGAAGGGGGAGAATCTTCTCCTGCTCCTGCCCTACAAAATCCTGAACCCTTCTGGGTTAGCACTTTTTATCACCAGAATGTGAGATTATGGCAGATCAGGGATTTTACCAAATGAAAATGAAATTGGTGGCTGGGCACAGTGATACATGCCTGAAATCTCAGCTCCCTGGGAGGCTAAGGCAGGAAAATTGCAAGTTCAGGCCCAGCCTGGGCAATGTAAGAACTTAGTGAGATCCTGTATCAAAATAAAAAAAAAAGGGGCTGGGGATTTAGCTCAGCGACAAAAGCGCCTGCCTGGCAAGCGCAAGGTCATGAGTTCGGTTCCTGGTACCGGAGAAAAACTAAAAAAAAAAAAAAGAAGGCTGGGGATATATAGTCCAGTATGAAGCCCCTAGGTTCAATTCCTGGTACCAAAATAAACAAAAGCGCACAATATTTATGCCAAAGGAATTTTACTGGAGTATACTGATACCTGGAAATGACTACACATATATACCAAGAGAGAACTGGTTAAACAGCTTACAGCACATCTGCCTAATACGATACTGTAAATACTATGTGTGCTTTAGAAGAATGAGGTGGGATATGCTGGGAGTGAAAGACAGCTATGACCTGATATACAAAAAAACAGCAAAGAACACCACACACACACACACACACACACACACACACATAGTAGTAGGATCCTACCTATGTAAATAACAATAAAGAAAAGAAACACCCATTCACACACATGAACTACTTCTATACTTCCAGACCATGGAAAGGGTCCCCCAAAACAAACTGGCATGTCTGGAGACTGGGAGCCCAGTGGACCAAGTATTGTTTATTTTGTTTTTAAATAACAAGAATTTTTATTTATTTATTTATTTATTTATTTATTTTTAATTTTTTTTTTTTAATTTTAAAGAATAAAAGAAGGATAACATAATAATAGGCGGGACTTAGCAAATTACAGACAAAATGGTAGGAAATTATCAATGGTTATCATTTTACATATTATTGTCTACAAAATAGTTTCTCAGGAAAACAAATAGACAAATAATAGTGAGTTACAGACAAAAGAGGTAGGAGATTATCAAGAGTTGTTGTACTATACTTTGGTATCTTCAAAGTGGCTTCTAAAGAAAATAAATAGAGCTATACATGAGTGACCTATTGAAAAATCATTAACTATTCTCAATGGTTGTTGTAGGAAAAGAATTTTTATTTAAATGAACAAAGAAATCACCTATGCCCACACTCACAGGTAAAGCAACTTGAGCAGCTGGCTAAGAACCTGGAGACACCCATCCATCCCACTGCCAAATCAAGCAGCGTCCCACCCTGCAGCCTCAGTCACGTACCTCTGCAAGTGGTAGATCTTGTGTGTGTACTGGCCCTTCTCTCCATCCTTCTCATAGGGCTCGTTTACCAGGACCTCCACGCCTTCGCCACCACCCGTTTCATTTTTACTGGCCTCAGCCACAGAATACAGCTGCCCTACCTGATACTAAAGGAACAGAGTAACACACATTATTCTCAACAGTCACTCGGTATTGCTGCTGGTAACTTCCAAGTGGACCCTGGGGTCTCCCTATTCGGAAGCTCATCCTAAAGTTTTACAACAGGCCTTGCCCACATCTACACAAAGCAACTGAGATGCTGCTCCACGGCCTTGCTTTAGCCATCAACTGTGTTTAATTTTTACTTCACCCATAAGGGTTTAAAGAGGCAGGCAAATATACCTAATCTTCACAAGGTAGCCTTTGCCCTGGACTTGTCTCTGGCACTGTTTTAAGACCCCAAGAGCCGGGGATATAGCTCAGCGGCGTAAGTGCCTGCCTGGCAAGCGCAAGGTCCTGAGCTCGATTCCCGGTACAAAAAAAAAAAAAAAAAAAAAAAAAAGAAAGAAAAGAAAAAAAGACCCAAGAACAGGATCTGGGTTGCTTGCCAGATACTTTATCTCTTTACTCCATTCATTTAAACAGAAACTGCTGGATGTGGTGGTGCACGCCTATTATCCCAGCACTCAGGGAGGCTGAGGCAGGAGGATCAATGTGAGTTCAAGACCAGCCTGAACTGCATAATAAAATCCTGCCTCAAAAAGACAAAAAGAAAAAAAAAAAAAAAAAAAGCACAGATCCTAAGCCACCACTGTTTATCAAAGGCAAGTTTTCCAGTGCTCTGTAAAATCCACCTCTATTGTAAAGCAAACTCACCCACTTGCTTTTTCTCTAGGGTTGGCTCCTTCCTTACCCTGCAAGGAACTCAGGAAAAGTGTTTTAGGCAATCAAACCCCTGGTGGTGCTGAAGTAAGTGCTACTGTTTCCCGTATGAAACAGTGTAGACAGATAGTACAGATTGCTTCCCAGGTCTGCTGGCTCGGTGCCCCTTCTGTGTTGGCAGTTACTAGATAGCAAAAGCATGCTTTTCCTTTATTTGGGTCACATGCCACCCTATCAAGTCACCTGTCAAGATCACTGGCCTTGCTGGGTGTGGTGGTGCAGGCCTGTAATCCCAGCACTGGGGAAGCTGAGGCAGGAGGATCATTGCGAGTTCAAGACCAGCCTGAACTACAAAGTGAGCTCAAGACCAGCCTGAACTGCATAGTGAGACCCTGTCTCAAAAAGACCAAAAAAAAAAAAGATCACTGGCCTCCTCTGACCCCTCAGGCAGTGCCTAGGCCTGGCCATTCTGCCCCCTTCTCTCTGAGGAAAGCCACCTGTAGAGAAAAATATGGTGAAGAGAGAACGAACAGTGGCTGTCAATAGAGGAAGTTACATCTACACCAAAAGACGCATCTTCTCCACCGCTGCAAGCACCAAACAGGCACAACCGTTCTGGTAGTATGAGAAAAAGAAAACCAAGTACAGTGCTCAATTATCCAGTACGTTGGGGAAGGGGACTAAGGTTTTCCTGACCCTCCACTCTCCTTTTCCAAGCCCCTGATACTCCTCCAGGTGAAAGACCAGGTTCTCTCTTTGACACTGAAACAGAGAAGCTGCACCTCTGGCCTTCTACCACTGAACCACTGTTGGCACCAGCAAAGCAACAGAGCAGCTTCCAGGGCTACTTCCCCTCAGGTCGGGAAGCCTGTTCTATGGCAGCTTCTTGAGCACCGCAGAGAAATTTCTGGGAAAAGTCTGGAATTCACTACTCACCATGAAGCTGAAAGAGCCCTAATTTCCAAAGCAAAAACCCACCACAAAATGCCAAGGAAAAGCGCAGGCAAGTGATCCAGGCTCCATTAATCCCGTAAAGAGGAACATCTGGGTGAGAGCCGTCACCTTGACCTTGCTAATTCTAAGCAATATCAGTGCTGCCTCAGTGCCTACACAGAATCCCAAACTGTCCCTGTGCTTTTCCAGCTCCACGACTTAGCTAAGGCACACATGAAACCCCTATCAAGTGGGTCAGGGTTTGGCTGAGCCAGGGGTTCCTAAGAAGCAGGAACTCTATTTCAGAGAATAGTCACAAGGGCATCTAACCACTGACTCAGCTGTCCTAAAGGGCAGGCTGGGAAGAGGGCCTGGCTGTGAGGCCTGGGTTGCCAGGTCATGGTGCTAGATCATGCTTGTGGAAGGGGCCCCAGGCAGAGACTAATTGTCTTTACTGGGTCTCTCCTCAGCTGCAGGAATCAGAGGGCAGGCTCTAAGAGGATCAGTCTGTTGGATGGCATCTTACCCCTTTAATCTCTCTTGATATTCTGATCCTTTAATCCCAATGAGACAAGGGAAGGCAGACTTGCTAATCCAAAGGGGTAAGACTGGCCTGCACAAGTTACAAATGCGGAACACCTTCCATGTCAGAGGGTTCCCTTTGGCAGAGATGTTCTGCATCTTGGGAAAGCTGCTGGACTCAGGCTAGGGGGCAGTAGAGGTGGGGGTCCGACCATTCAATAGGATAAGGAACCCCAAGGAGGCCATGATTGCAGTCATCACAGGCATAGGACAATGCTCCCCTACCCTTGACATTTGTTCCCTTGTCTCAATGAACTAAAACATTCAGCTAAGAAAAAGAGAAACAGGCCAGGAACGGTGGCATGTGCTTGTAGTCCCAGTTACTTAGAAGGCTGAGGCAGAATCGCCTGAACCCAAGAATTTAAGTGCAGTCTATGCAACAGAGTGTGAAATTCTATCCCAGAGAGAGAGAGAGAGACAAAGACAGGCAGAGAGAGAGAAGAGAACACAAATGAACAAACCAGACAAGAAAAACAGAGACTCCACCGCTTTGGCAATCTGAGAGTGGAAGTTCAGGAAAATATATGTAGTGGGTGGGCCACAAATACTGACGTGAAACATGTCATGAGAAACAGTACAGCTGCTGGTTCCAAGTACATGGGCCTATCAGGTCAGGTACCACAGGAGGGTGGTGACATGAATCTCTGGAAACAAGAAGTAAAACAGCCCAGCCCACAGTGGAAGATGGGCTGGCCTGAGCCAGGACCCACAGGTGAACACACCCATGTCAGACAGCAGAGTGTTTTTTTGCTGTGCTGCAGATGCCCAGAAACCCAGGCAGTGTTAGGCCAAAGACTCTGGCTAGCCAGAAGCTAATTCTTCCCCAAATATCGATTCAGGCCATCAGGATGATTATAAAGACATGACTTCTCTTTTCTCTCTTTCTCCCACAAATCAGAAACTCCACGGTCCTTAAGTCATGGCCTCCAATTTAGGAAGTGAATCTACCAATTACACAATTCTGGGTTGTTCCCATGGGAACCGTGAGTCTGGATGGGGTTATTGACAAAGATTCTTGAGAAGGTCAATCATTTCTTCTCTGGCTTCCCATTCAAGAATTTTCTGATCTCCTGGAACTAAGGTTCAAGCCATTAAAAGGGGACCTTTCACCCTACCAGGTCAGGCATTGCTTTCTTGTCAATGGTTTTTGTTTCTGGAGGCTTTTTTGACACAGAGATTGAACCTAAGGTCCTTCTTTTACCCCTCCTTTTTTTTTTTTTTTTTTTTTTTTGTGACAGGCTCTCACTCTAATTCAGGCTGGTCTTAAAATCACTACGTACATCAGGCTAGCCTCGAATTCACACAATCCAATCCTCCTGCCTCAGCCTCCCCACTGCTGGGATTATAGGTGTGCACCACCACATCCAGCTTGTTTTTCTGAGACAGGGTCTCAATGGGTAATTCAGGCTGGTCTTGAGCTCAAGGTGATCCTCCTGCCTCAGCCACCAGAGCAGCCGTGCACCACAATACCTGGCTTTTGCCAGTGGTTTCTTACCAGGAATAAGCTGACCATCAGCACAGATAGATGAATCCTAACCAGCACTTCAAACTTTTTGCTTAGACTTTAGGCTCTGAATACCCCAACTGCCTTGCCCTGGCCTGCTACTTCTTCAACACTGGAAAAAACCCACCACCAGTTAAAAACTGCCAGTTGTGGAAGCTCTCAGTGTGGGAGTTCCCCATCCTTCTACTCTTAGTTCTGTTATGAGCAATCAGGGTTCTGGCCCTTCTTGTCTGATGGCAAAGCAGCTGAGAAGTACCTGTGCCTGGACTGTTCTGGCTTCCTTGGTCTACAGCATTCTCAGAGACATTCTCAACCTGCATTCTATCAAGAAAATCCCTGTAAAAACATCCACTCTGCTCCAAAATACCACACTGAGGAAACCCCAAATTTCTAGGAGATATCTTACTGAATTAAGGGGGTGATCCTGTATAGCAGAGAACAAGTTGTTGCCTTTTTCCCAAAAAAAGAAAAACCACCACCAACTTTCAGAGCAACAGACACACTAGACCCTCTAGCCTGGCATTCCAGTTTGGAAAAATCACTTGGTTGTCATTTGTTTGTTTGTGTTTTACTCAAGATTAAACCCAAAGCCTTAACACTACATCCCCTCTTTAAATTTTTTTTACTTTTTTTTTTTTTTCTGTCTTTTTGAAACAAGGTCTCACTATGCAGTTCAGGCTGGCCTTGAGCTCACTTTGTAGCTCAGGCTGGCCTCAAACTCACAACGATCCTCCTGCCTCAGCCTCCCGAGTGTGGGGATTACAGGCGTGCGCCACCATGCCCAGCCTGTCTCATCTGAAAAGGGCTGTGGGCTCTGTCAGCCTGATTTGAGTTTTCAAAGGTCCAGCTTCTGTTTGGAACAGAGTGAAAGTTATCACGAGACCTTCATGCTGGGCCTGAATGAGATGGAGCCCAATGACAGAAGGCACAACATGGGCTGACAAACTGCACCCAAACTCTTGAGTTTCACCAGAAGGTGGGGCAGGGCCTGTGGATTCAGAAGGCAAAAGAGCAAGACTATGCCAGGAGAGGAGAATGCAGGAAGTTCACAGAAAGGGTGAGACCAGGGAGGCTCCATGACAGCTTTCTGCTGTCTAGGACACCAGCTCTGAGTCAGCCTGACCCATGAACCTTCTGTGGCAAATGCTGCTGCCAGATCCCCACGAACTGGGACATCAGACCCAGCCGCCATAAAAGGCCAGAGAGCAAGCCAAGTGCATTTGTCATCCCCTGCCCTCCGTAAAAGGAGGGCTCTGTGCTTTGGTCCTTCCTGCAGTCACCTAGCATGGCTAAGGAGGGCCTCAGATTTCTGGCCCTACTGGTTTGTCACACAACCAGATAGAGCCATGCCCCCTTCCCAGACAAGTCACAAAGGTTCCCCAAAATACACACCTAATCCCATCAGTAATACATCTCCAAAGAGTACAGTCCCAGCAGGTAAGAGGAGCTGGGCTGGTCTCTCATCAGAGTCATCCAGCATGCTAACACCTTCCGGATATTACAAGCAAATGCCCTCCTGCAACTAGAACTGGCACTGGTTGTCGCTATGTTAGAACTAATACAAGGGCTGTACAAAGAGTATGGCTATTCGCAGCCCAACTGAGCCAGTGGTCACAAGCACTTTCGTGAAGTATGGTAAGAAAGAGAAAGAACTTACCTCATCTACAGACACAGGCAGGATGACTCGACTACAAGAGAGGGAAAAGAGTGTCAATTTCCAGTTCTAAAACCTGCCGGAGAACCTTACAGCATCAGGTCAGAACAGTATTCAGCGCTTTGCTGCATATAACTCTATACTCACTGACAAAAGCCCAGAGCAGTAGGCCCGGGTTGCCCTTCTGGCATCCCATTTAGAACCCTGTGATTCAATGTAAACCCCAGTCCCCCACCAGCTACTTCCCAGGCCTCTGACTCACATGTGGAGCTGTCCTCTTCTCCCGCTCCCTCACCCATCTCTTCTCCAACAAGACTTGCTAATGAGTCTAGTAAAACAGAGAGGTTAACAAAGAAGGACCCACCATAATGAGGATTCAGACCCCAAAAGGCAGGCCCTGGGGATCTGCATCTCTGTGGACCCAACTTCCCAATAAAAGCCCTCAGGGTGGGGGCTGGGGATTTAGCTCAGCGGCACAGCACCTGCCTGGCAAGTGCAAGGTCGTGAGTTTGACTCCCGATACCGGAATAAAACCAAAAAAAAAAAAAAAAGCCCTTAAGGTGAAAGGCTAGGATGTGGCCAAGTCCCCTGGAGACTTAATCACCCTAAGAGCACAGGCCAACCAACTCTGCTCTGGGGCAGGCCATTTCAATATAAGCTACAACTGTGCAGCTTCCAAAAGAGGACACCCAATTGTCCCTGACCTCTGGAAGCTGCCGAAAGGCACACCGACTGATCACTTTCGTTTCTTCTGCGTTTCATTGACCACTAATGGTTGGAAGGACCACCAATAACCTAAGGGAGAAGCCATGGCCAGCAAAGGCCCCGTGGGGGGGAGCACTTCAGTGAGGTGAGAGGGCTACTGGCACTTCTGCAGGTGGCTTGCATTTGTAACGCAGACTCATGGTGGCCAGCCCCCAGTTCGATGCTGTGAGGAGAGAGCGCTGAGGGAAAAGCCTTGGTTGAATTCCTACAAGTTAAGACAGTTCCCACGCTGAAATCTGCAGTCTTCAGAGCCTTGCTGGAACCCTCTGAGCCCTTCTGTGTGCCTGCTTGGTGAAGCATGAGCTGCTATGTCTTCTTTCCTATGCAGTGCAGTGGGCTCAAGCATGTCTCCTTGCTCCAGGCTGCTAAACAGCTTTCTATTTTTTAGTTCCACAAAGGTCCCCCAGGAAGCAAGAAGCACACAGAGGGATCTGAAGAAAACATCACAGTAAAGGCCAGGCACCAAGAAGAAAAGTAGCAGGAAAAACAAAATGGGCTCTAAGTCTTCACTGCCTTCTAACAACTCCCTTCTCAGAAGGACTCAAAATAACGTAAATCCTCCAGGTTATTGGATGCTGCCACTAACGCTCTCCTCCCATTAGAGAAACCCAACCGTGCAGAAAAATACTTCCAACCTGCAGGCCAGAATTTCTGCACCCTCAGAAGAAACTTCCTAGAAAACAATAATGCCCTTTATCTTCACATACACAGTAGAAATCAATCTAAGAATTTGCAGAAATCAAATCAAGGAGAATCCTGTTGCAGGAAGTGTCAAAAAACATCAACAAGGAAAACCTTTAGACCCAGCCCCCTCTCCAAGAATTGGCATCCGCCAATTCCCTCTTCACAGGATGCTCTGGGGCTGCTTCCATCACAGCTGTTACCCCCCCACCCTTTCTCCCATGTTCCTTGGGAACAAAACCACCTCAGGAGCAATAGCGTCCAATTCCAAAGAATAGAGTCACAGAAGCACAGCTGGGCTGAGACTAGAGCTATGCTCACTATAGTGTGACCTTCACTCACATCCTTCCTGGAGCTGCAGCTCTGCAGCCACAGCCCAGTACCTCAGATCTGTCCTCCCGCCGTCCCTAGCCCAGATTACACACAGGGCATAACTTAGGCAGGAAGGAAACGCAGATGCTAAGTCGGCTCTGCATCCCTATACTTTGGGCCTTCTCTGTGGGCTTCAAAGGGAGAACAAAGAATGGTAAAGGACTACCTCCCTTCAAAACTCACTTCTCTTCTGAGGATCTTTCCTTCCCCTTCCCTCCTTTCAAAACTATATATTTGCATAGATTCTAGGACTCATCTGGGAATAGGAAAAAAATATGAGAAGAATAAAGAAGACTAAAGATTAAAATGCAAAGTGCACCATGTTCTCCTCCTTGGAGAACCCTGGCATCCTAGGTTCTTCCTCCTCACCACTAAAACTCTGAGGCCGAGCATGGTGGCACATGCCTGTAATCCTAGCACTCAGGAGGCTGAGGCAGGAGGATCACTGTAGCCAGCCTGGGCTACAAAGTGAGTTCAAGGCCAGCTGAACTGCATAGGGAAACCCTGTCTCAAAAAGACAAACAAATATACAAAAACTCTGAGCTCTGACTAGATTAGTATTAGACTAGATGTCAAGAAATAGAGGTGGCCAGGCATGGTGACACATGCCTGTAATCCCAGCACTCAGGAGGCTGAGGCAGGAGGATTGTTGCGAGTTTGAGACCAGCCTGGGCTACAAAGTGAGCTCGAGGCCAGCCTGAACTGCACAGTGAGTCCCTGTCTCAAAAAGA